ACTTAGTAAAAAATATTATACTAAAAAAAATTTACTCGACTGGACACTTAGTAAAAAATATTATACTAAAAAAAATTTACTCGACTGGACACTTAGTAAAAAATATTATACTAAAAAAAATTTACTCGACTGGACACTTAGTAAAAAATATTATACTAAAAAAAATTTACTCGACTGGACACTTAGTAAAAAATATTATACTAAAAAAAATTTACTCGACTGGACACTTAGTAAAAAATATTATACTAAAAAAAATTTACTCGACTGGACACTTAGTAAAAAATATTATACTAAAAAAAATTTACTCGACTGGACACTTAGTAAAAAATATTATACTAAAAAAAATTTACTCGACTGGACACTTAGTAAAAAATATTATACTAAAAAAAATTTACTCGACTGGACACTTAGTAAAAAATATTATACTAAAAAAATTTACTCGACTGGACACTTAGTAAAAAATATTATACTAAAAAAATTTACTCGACTGGACACTTAGTAAAAAATATTATACTAAAAAAAATTTACTCGACTGGACACTTAGTAAAAAATATTATACTAAAAAAAATTACTCGACTGGACACTTAGTAAAAAATATTATACTAAAAAAAATTTACTCGACTGGACACTTAGTAAAAAATATTATACTAAAAAAAATTTACTCGACTGGACACTTAGTAAAAAATATTATACTAAAAAAAATTTACTCGACTGGACACTTAGTAAAAAATATTATACTAAAAAAAATTTACTCGACTGGACACTTAGTAAAAAATATTATACTAAAAAAAATTTACTCGACTGGACACTTAGTAAAAAATATTATACTAAAAAAAATTTACTCGACTGGACACTTAGTAAAAAATATTATACTAAAAAAAATTTACTCGACTGGACACTTAGTAAAAAATATTACTAAAAAAAATTTACTCGACTGGACACTTAGTAAAAAATATTATACTAAAAAAAATTTACTCGACTGGACACTTAGTAAAAAATATTATACTAAAAAAAATTTACTCGACTGGACACTTAGTAAAAAATATTATACTAAAAAAAATTTACTCGACTGGACACTTAGTAAAAAATATTATACTAAAAAAAATTTACTCGACTGGACACTTAGTAAAAAATATTATACTAAAAAAAATTTACTCGACTGGACACTTAGTAAAAAATATTATACTAAAAAAAATTTACTCGACTGGACACTTAGTAAAAAATATTATACTAAAAAAAATTTACTCGACTGGACACTTAGTAAAAAATATTATACTAAAAAAAATTTACTCGACTGGACACTTAGTAAAAAATATTATACTAAAAAAAATTTACTCGACTGGACACTTAGTAAAAAAATATTATACTAAAAAAAATTTACTCGACTGGACACTTAGTAAAAAATATTATACTAAAAAAAATTTACTCGACTGGACACTTAGTAAAAAATATTATACTAAAAAAAATTTACTCGACTGGACACTTAGTAAAAAATATTATACTAAAAAAAATTTACTCGACTGGACACTTAGTAAAAAATATTATACTAAAAAAAATTTACTCGACTGGACACTTAGTAAAAAATATTATACTAAAAAAATTTACTCGACTGGACACTTAGTAAAAAATATTATACTAAAAAAAATTTACTCGACTGGACACTTAGTAAAAAATATTATACTAAAAAAAATTTACTCGACTGGACACTTAGTAAAAAATATTATACTAAAAAAAATTTACTCGACTGGACACTTAGTAAAAAATATTATACTAAAAAAATTTACTCGACTGGACACTTAGTAAAAAATATTATACTAAAAAAAATTTACTCGACTGGACACTTAGTAAAAAATATTATACTAAAAAAAATTTACTCGACTGGACACTTAGTAAAAAATATTATACTAAAAAAAATTTACTCGACTGGACACTTAGTAAAAAATATTATACTAAAAAAAATTTACTCGACTGGACACTTAGTAAAAAATATTATACTAAAAAAAATTTACTCGACTGGACACTTAGTAAAAAATATTATACTAAAAAAAATTTACTCGACTGGACACTTAGTAAAAAATATTATACTAAAAAAAATTTACTCGACTGGACACTTAGTAAAAAATATTATACTAAAAAAAATTTACTCGACTGGACACTTAGTAAAAAATATTATACTAAAAAAAATTTACTCGACTGGACACTTAGTAAAAAATATTATACTAAAAAAAATTTACTCGACTGGACACTTAGTAAAAAATATTATACTAAAAAAAATTTACTCGACTGGACACTTAGTAAAAAATATTATACTAAAAAAAATTTACTCGACTGGACACTTAGTAAAAAATATTATACTAAAAAAAATTTACTCGACTGGACACTTAGTAAAAAATATTATACTAAAAAAAATTTACTCGACTGGACACTTAGTAAAAAATATTATACTAAAAAAATTTACTCGACTGGACACTTAGTAAAAAATATTATACTAAAAAAAATTTACTCGACTGGACACTTAGTAAAAAATATTATACTAAAAAAAATTTACTCGACTGGACACTTAGTAAAAAATATTATACTAAAAAAAAATTTACTCGACTGGACACTTAGTAAAAAATATTATACTAAAAAAAATTTACTCGACTGGACACTTAGTAAAAAATATTATACTAAAAAAAATTTACTCGACTGGACACTTAGTAAAAAATATTATACTAAAAAAAATTTACTCGACTGGACACTTAGTAAAAAATATTATACTAAAAAAAATTTACTCGACTGGACACTTAGTAAAAAATATTATACTAAAAAAAATTTACTCGACTGGACACTTAGTAAAAAATATTATACTAAAAAAAATTTACTCGACTGGACACTTAGTAAAAAATATTATACTAAAAAAAATTTACTCGACTGGACACTTAGTAAAAAATATTATACTAAAAAAAATTTACTCGACTGGACACTTAGTAAAAAATATTATACTAAAAAAAATTTACTCGACTGGACACTTAGTAAAAAATATTATACTAAAAAAAATTTACTCGACTGGACACTTAGTAAAAAATATTATACTAAAAAAAATTTACTCGACTGGACACTTAGTAAAAAATATTATACTAAAAAAAATTTACTCGACTGGACACTTAGTAAAAAATATTATACTAAAAAAAATTTACTCGACTGGACACTTAGTAAAAAATATTATACTAAAAAAAATTTACTCGACTGGACACTTAGTAAAAAATATTATACTAAAAAAAATTTACTCGACTGGACACTTAGTAAAAAATATTATACTAAAAAAAATTTACTCGACTGGACACTTAGTAAAAAATATTATACTAAAAAAAATTTACTCGACTGGACACTTAGTAAAAAATATTATACTAAAAAAAATTTACTCGACTGGACACTTAGTAAAAAATATTATACTAAAAAAAATTTACTCGACTGGACACTTAGTAAAAAATATTATCAAAACGATTGAAAATTTCGTAAATGTGCCGGAGGGTTTACGAAGCAATGCATAATGTATTGCAAATTGTCGTAGATGTGCTACGGGATTTAAGTACGAAATGCCAAAGATAAGTAGAAGAATTGTTTGTTGCATATTACAATTATAACTATTAATGCAAGCTAAAGAAAGTATAGTTGCATACATATTATTTAAAAACGCAATACTTAAAGGCGTGAATAACATATAAAGTATAGGCAATGATAGCAAAATATACCAAAGTATTGCAAGAAAGCTCATATATATTAGTGCCAGATGTCATATAAAGCAGCAGTGTAATATGTAGCAGGTATAATGTATGCTATATGTATGCTATATGTATATATATATATATATATATATAATATATATATATATATATAATATATATATATATATATATATATATATATATATCACCCATAGACACCATCACTTTCCAGCGTAAAACACTTCCGCAACGAGGGTCCCAGACCAGGTTCACCTACTAATATATTATATATTTTGTTTCGGTTGAGATTAGCTCAGTGGGTAGCAGCTCAGCTCTTGAATTCGACAAAAGAAACCTGTGTCGGGTTCAAGTCCCGGTCAGGGCAAAAAAAAAATAAAAACACAATTATTGATCAAAATATTTCTATAGTAAAACTTGCCTTGATCGGGAACCCACTAATATATATATTTGTGGCAAGGCCTTCTAGAAATCTAGGGGGCCTTGCTTTCAGCATCAATAAGACATATCCGTTCACAGATGGCTCCAGGAATTTAGTAGACAGCTTCACAATTGTAACTTTTAGCAATTATTCGAACCTGTAAATCACAAGCGCCATCTACATTCAAATAATTACAAATTTTTAACAATTATTCGAACCGGTAATTTACAGACGCCATCTAGTTTCAGGTAATTACAACTTTTAGCAATTATTCAAACCAGTAAATCGCACGCGCCATCTATACTCAAATAATTACAACTTTTAGCAATTATTCGAACCAGCAATTCTAGAGGCGTTATCTACATTTAAAAATTACAACTTTTAGCATTTATTCGAACCAATAATATACTAGCGCCACCTATGTACCAATAGATTTCACTACTTTTAACATTTATTCAAACCGGTAATTCACAGTGTCATCTACAGTCAAATTAATACAACTTTTAGCAATTATTTAAACCAGTAATTCACAGGGATTATCTACATTCAAATACATATTACTACTTTTAATTATTCGAATCAATAGTTTATCAAATTTTATCTATGATAATCTTCATTGATTGAATAATAATAGGCATTTATTTAAATTGAAAAATAAACAGTGCTTGCTCAAAACTTCTTAACAGACAACCAAACTTATTTAATAGTACATTTGAAATATTATATTCCATGAAATACCTTTTCCAATGGTTAAAAAAGAGGCGCAGGATGAACTGTATATCTGGAAGGCATTACTCACTGCAAGGAATTTGCATCATCGCAATTGTGCTATTAAACCGTAACAGTGAAGTCCATGGCTGTATTGTCATCACTTTCAACTGGAATATAAAATAAATTGCATTAAATTTTGTATCATATATGTAGTACTACTCATGTGGTTTTTCTCTTCCATCCATTGTCTATTTCGAAACCTTCACTGTAAAAGAAAATTGAATTTAAGAACTTCATAATAATAATAATAAAAAAAATATATACTGTTTTATTTTGAATAAAATATTGAATTTAATTGTTGTACCTATCAAGAAGCACGAGAGCCTTCCATTTATTTTGAGAGTTGACCAAGAATTGCAGTAGCAGCCAGCTGCAGCATATTTCATAGCTAATGATGTTTTTCTAATATTCTTTGTTTTGCATTGCCGGTATTCTCTGTAAAAAAAAATTATTACATTAATTACTCAAATTTATATAAAAAATTACCGACAAATTTTTTAAATCATTTATATTATTTGACTGCAATACTCGAGTAAATTAAATTTGTAATATAAATTCATCACTGATGAAATTTTTAAATATTATCAAGCAGTTTAACAATAACTTACCTATATTTGATTCAAAGTCTTTGATTAGGTAGCCATTTACTAGTAATTCTAGGATTTGAAATCATGCATCCTCTGATTTGCCTGGTTTTCTTCCAACAGTTCTCGTCTTGACGTGTTTAGTTATTCAAGCCAATCCATTTGCACCAAATGCACCAAAGGTATATTGTATTGTTCGAGTGAGGATTATTTCTGAAATAAAATAAATTCATTGAACTATTGTTATTTAAAGAGTAGAGTACATGAATTATTTTAAATATTCGAGCTAAACATACCAAATTTAATAAAAGCAGCAGCCTCTTTGAAATCCTACGGTAAGAATACATTGGTTCCATTCTTTGAAATGGTTCTCTTCAGTTAGGGCCCACGATTGCTTGTCACGTTATTTTCTTCAGGAATGCACATATTCCCCAATATGCATGTCGACAAGTCCACATTGTTTGATTCACTGTACGATTTGTAGAGCATCACCCTTGTTATTTCTTTCAAGAATGCACATGTTCTACAATATGTATATCGGCAAGTCCATATTGTTTCATTCACTGTAGGAATTGCAGAGCATCCTTGTTATTTCCTTCAAGAATGCACATATTCCACAATATGTATGTCGGCGAGTCCATAATGCAACATCTTACTTCATACTTTAAATACAATGATCTCTTTCAATTAATTTGTATTACTTTTACGAATTTGTTTATAGATTTTTATACTTGTATATTTTATTACCATATGAAAATCTCTCTATGAATTTAACATTATTTAATCGTAATTTCTTGAACAAATAAAAAAAAGTATTATTTACTCAAAATTTTTGTAAAAGCATTCAAATTCTTTCACATTTTTTAATTATTGCATTAAATTAAATACCTTAAAACTTAATTGAGAGTAATATTCAAGCATTTAAAAAATAAATCTCTTGTATGTATATTTCAATTATTTCATTTTATTAATTACCTTTTATCCTCACTGACAACACAAAGGCTGCAGGCAGCAAAGAGTTTAATAAACAGATCCCCGATTAAGTCCTGATACACTTGCCCTTTGCATAGTGATCGCAAACGACTGAAAAATAAAATAAATTGCATTTAATTCAATAGTTCATATTTAGATTAAATAATACTTAGTAGCAAAAACATTGTTTCATCAAGGATTACAAAATTTACGATTGATCATTCATTCAGATCTCAAATTTACAAAATTTAGTAGTTGCTGAACAATTTCCATTCATTTATGATATGCAATGCCAAATTATAATAAAAAATTTCTATATTTTACTTTCCAAATACTAAAATATTTCAATAGTATTAATTGTAAATTATTTCATCACACACCTTATGGTCACTATTGCTGCCATGTAGAGATAATGTTCCTTCTAAAGCTCTGCCGTAGACAATGTCATTTTCGAATTCATTTGTCTTCCCTGAAATAAATTAATTGTTCATTAATTTTACATTTTCTAATGATTATATTAAAAACCATTCATTTCAGTAACTTAATAAATAAATTTAAGTTCGAAATAAAATCTTGGAAATAAATATAGAAATAAACATTTTTTGATTTAATTGCAATAACAATTGTACGTATACAGTTACATTTAGACACTAAATATTAACAATATTTTATTTAAAGTATCATTGCAATTTATATGAAAAATCACTCGTATTTTCTTTTCTTATAATTTATTGTCAATTTTTATACTCATGTGTGTAATTATAACTATTTTATAATTACTAACCTGATTAGGCCCTTAGCAGAGCAATATGATGTTCAAACACTTTCCATCTTTACTAAATTCCATTGTCTATTTCGAAACCTTCACTATAAAAGAAAATTGAATTTAAGAACTTCATAATAATAATAATAAAAAAAATATAAACTGTTTTATTTTGAATAAAATATTGAATTTAACTGTTGTACCTATCAAGAAGCACGAGAGCCTTCCATTTATTTTGAGAGTTGACCAAGAATTTGATGAAACTAAACTGGTGATTCAAATATGTACCAGTAGCAAAATAATTTTAAGAATCTAAGAGCTGTGTTAATAAGAAATCGTAATTTTTGGCATATTGAAAAAATCCTAACCACTGACCCATTGCCGCCCCATTTGTCTTGCAAAATCTATTAAGCAATGCAGTCTTACTTTAAACTAATATTTGAAAGTGTAAATGGATGGATGATTTCAAATGATTCAGAAAATTCTAGTGATATATAAATCAAAATGTACTCGGAAGCCGCAGTAGTTGCGGCCACGCAATTAATTCATTTTGCATAATGAAAAGCCAAAATGATCAAAACTGAAAATAAAACTACAAGTTCTCGTATTACGGAAATTCGGTATCGGTACCCACAAAATCAACTCGAAAACCTTGAAATTAATACAAGAAATATGTATCACTGACCTTTTCTCCTGTAAACGGTGCTGCACCAGTTCCAATTTCTCATGTAAATTAGACTTGATAAGGGCACAATTACAAACACTTGAAATTAATAGGTATAAAATTATCGCACTATTAAACTGAATTCAATTCGTAACCATGTTGAACTTATGCAACATGTCGGTCGGCTACGTCCATTTCGCCGAGACCCTTCTAGCCGTACACCGTACACCACGGCCTTCGAAAACGAAATGATATCCTCTCGCAATGGCAGGCCGATTCGAGTGGTGGGGAGAGCAACTAGGTGATAGGTGATGGGCGGTGATGGGCGTGGCCTGCGCCTGCGACATATCTTTGTCCTTGTCCTGCGCAGTAATCCTATGCGTGTGGAATAGAGTGCGAAATAGGGCTCGCGCGCAATCGCACATTTGCATAATACATTTGTCCTTCTCTGTCCTCAGCTTTGCATAATCGGCGTAGCGCTTCTGTCTGTCGGCAAACAGCGACGTAAAATTATATTATAATTTTTAAGTCAAATATTTTATACAATAAGTTTATTTTATACAATATTATCAAGTTAATTCGAAAAGTCTTAATGAATTATTACAATCAAATTAAGTTATTTGAATTATTTAATTATTGAGTATTACATTAAATTAATTATTTATTTCAAACAAAGTTTATTTACTTTAAAACGAAAGTTTATTTTATACAAGTCTATTTATTAATAAATACTTATAAAAATATAAATACTTACATTTAATAATCGCTGCAAACAATCCACAATTTCTTCAAACACCATCCAAGTGACAGTGGCTCGGGGTGGACCGTCATCATTCTTAAGCACGATCATCAGTAATGCATTCTTGGGCAGTAGTAGTAAGTATTGCAAACACTAAAAATTAAACAATACATTTATTAGTTAAGCAGCCTCAATCTATTTCATTGAATTTTTAAGTTAACTACATTTTTGAATTTTTAAATAACAAATTATCAAGATGTATAATTATATTTTTTTATTCCAATAAAAAAAAAGGATGCTTAATTTACATCAACTATTACAACTATTACATTCAAAACAAAGTCTATTAAATTAAAACAAGTCATTTCCATTATAATCAAAACAATTTATTCAAACAATTCTTCCTTTAAAAATTAAATACATTAACAAAGTCTAAAGTGTAAATAAAACACATTTTATCATTGCTCGCAATACATGATTGGCATTCTTAGGAAGCATCAGTTGTGGCTTTCTTCGACAGTATGTAGTAATCATTGCAAGCACTGAAAATAAAAACAAACGTTTATTAGTTAAACAGTCTCACTTTATTTTATATATTAAGAAAATTAATTTTAAATTTTTCAAATAACAAATTAACTCTGTTACAAATCAACAATCAAATATTATTAAATTCTTTTATTCCATTAACAATAACGAATATTTAATTAAACTACAAATATTACATTCAAAACTAAATCTATTAAATTAATACAAGTCATTTCAATTCAAATCAGAACATTTTATTAAAACAATCTTTACATCAACTATTACAACATTACATTCAAAACAAAGTCTATTAAATTAAAACAGAGCATTTAAATTCAAATCAAAACATTTTATTCAAACAATCTTTACTTTCAAAAATATAAATATAAATACATTAATAAAGTCGAAAGTGTAAATAAAATACTTACATTTATTCGTTGCTCGTAATACATGATCATCATTCTTAGGGGGCATCAGTTCAAGCATTTTTCTTGGCAATAGTAGTAGTCGTTGCAAGCACTGAAAACAAAAGCAGACATTCATTAGTTAAACAGCCTCAATTTATTTCATAGAATTTTTAAGTAAAGTACATTTTTCAATTTTTAAATAAATTATCAAGTTGTATAATTTGATTTTTTTATTCCAATAAAAACAAACGATATTTAGTTTACACCAACTATTACATTCAAAACAAAGTCTTATTAAATTAAAACAATTCAATCATTTAAATTCAAATCAAATCATTTTATTAAAACAATCCTTTCTTTGAAAATTAAATACATTAACAAAGTATAAAGTGTAAATAAAACACTTTCAAACGTATTAATAAAAATATAAACACTTACATTTAATAACCACTGCTAACATTTCTTCAAACACCATCCGAGTGGTGGTGGCTCATAATAGATTATCGTCATTCTTAAGCAGCATCATCAGTAGTACCATTATTGGGCAGTGGCAAGTGGGTAGTACTCATCAAAGACACTGAAAATAAAAAAATACATTTATTAGTTAAACAGCCTCAGTCTATTTCATAGAATTTCTAAGTGGACTACATTTTGGAATTTTTAAATAAGAAATTATCAAGTCGTATAATTATATTTTTTTATTCCAATAAAAAAATAAGGATGTTTCATTTACATCGACTATTACGACTATTACATTCAAAACAAAGTCTATTAAATTAAAACAAGTCATTTCCATTATATTCAAAACATTTTATTCAAACAATCTTTTCATTCAAAATTAAATACATTAACAAAGTCTAAAGTGTAAATAAAACACTTACATTTTATCGTTGCTCGCAATACATGATTGGCATTCTTAGGGAGCATCAGTTGTAGCATTCATGGACAGTACCTCGTAATCATTGCAAGCACTGAAAATAAAAACAAACATTTATTAGTTAAACAGTCTCAATTTATTTCTTCAATTTAAAGTCCATTTTAATTTTTTCAACTAAGAAATTGAAAAGTCATTAACTATTAATTTCAAATTAAGTATATTTACATTTTTTTTATTCAATTAACAACAAAAGATATTTCTTTAAAAATTATATTCTAAACAAAGTCTATTAAATTCAAACAAGTCATTTTAAATCAATTTAAGAGGGTATTCTAGTGTACAAATTCAAAAAAATCGATTTTTTTTATTTCACATTTTCAAAGTTTAACTATCTAAGAATATAAGTACGAGAAAGTTTTTGAAAATTTCAATTCTTTTTGGAGATATAGGCATTTTACTGACTCGGTCTCCATACTGGTTTGGCTTCACGCAAAACTTTAAATGCGTTTTTCACAGAAATAACTTTTTCAGTACTCTTGTCACGATTTCTGGAGTTCTACTCGACCAATTTATTTGAAATTTTCAGATAGTCTTCTTTATAGATCTATCTATAGCCTGAACTAGAATCATCCCGAAATTCCTATTTTTACTATTTTTAAAAAATTCGAGAAACTCAAACAAAATAGTAAAAAAACAACTTTTTTTTTCAAACAGTCGCCAATTTGTGGAAAAATATTTTCATTTTTTGCATTTTCGATGGCTAGGAGGGCTGAAATCATGTCAAGACTGAGGTGCCAATTTTTTAAGACCACCCACTTCATCAGTTACCAGTTTTTACAATTTTAATAAACAACATGTAAATTCAATTAAACAATTTCTTTATTTCAAATTCAAAGTGTATTCAATTTTAAACATAATATATATTCAGTGTCGATAATTTTTCATTTTTTAATTTTTCTCTTGCATCTTAATAATATTAATAAACAAATGGTAAAAAAATGGATAGTGAAAACATTCATTGCTTTCTTTTACGACAATTTAAAAATGACCTAAAATTCATCGCTCTACACTAAAATACCCCCTTAAAACAAAGGTTTTTTTACTAAAAAATTTATTGATTAACAAATCAAAGTCCAAAGTATAAATAAAACACTTACATTTTATCGTTGCTTGCAAAACATGATTGGCGTTCTTAGGAAGCATCAGTTGTGGCATTCTTGGACAGTAGATAGTAACCATTGCAAGCACTGGAATTAAAAAAACGTTTATTAGTTAAACAGTTTCACTTTATTTTATGTATTTAAGAAAATTCATTTTAAATTTTTCAAATAACAAATTATTAACTCTGTTAGAAATCAACAAATATAATTAAATTCTTTTATTCAATTAACAACAAACAATATTTATTTAAACTTTAAAAACTTTTATTTAAACTATTTATTTAAACTTTAAAAAAATTATTATAAACTCTAAAAAAAATTTCATTAATACAATCCTATATACAAGTTTCAAATAATCTTATTTGTCATTTAATCACTTTTAATCGACAATTTAATTCCATAAACATGAGCCTATGTAAAGTTAATTTTAGATATATATATTGAACAATTATTTTATTGTGTCAGAAATGAATTCAACAAAAGCAAAGTATTTTAAACTAAAGACAAATTTCAGTAAATTACAAATTTCAGTAAATTTTTTATAATTGAAATATAAATTAATTACATAAAGTTAAACCAAGTTTAAAGTGTTAATGAAATGCATTCATTATTTTGTTACTTTTATTATAAATTAAAAACAACATCAGTACAATTTCATGAAATATTTCATTGTACACTATCACTATTGCAAATGGCAATTTCAAATGTTTTTTGAATCGAATATTATCTGTAAATTTTAGGCAAAATTTATTACATTTTGTGAACAAAATGCATTCAATTATAAATTATTTATATTTCATAATGAAGCATATTCATATTTGACAAAAAACAATTGATTTCGAATTCAAAGTGTAAAGTAGAGAAAAAAACACTTACATTTTCAGTTCTTCTTGCGCCACTCGCTCAACGGCAACGTCAATTATTGGGCTCCAAAAAGCATCTTCATCCCTTACATTCTTTTGTTGGTCTTGCTCAACGATGATTCTTTGGCAGCTTCATCATTGCCACTACTGAAAATTAAAAAAAAAAAACATTAGTACAATTTTATATAAAACTCTTAATACATTTATTGCTATGTGATTGCTTTTAAATTATGATTTTAATATTTTGTGTGAAACTAAGGGGAAAAAATTATTATATATTGAATTGTGAACTAATTGCATTAAATTATAAACAAGATGTACATTAAATTTATCGCTTTTAAGCAACGATTTCATTCCATGAGCATAAGACTATGTAAAGTAAAATTACAAAATATGTTTCACAATTATTTTACATCAAAAATGCAATAAAAGCAAAGTATATTGAATTGAAAACCAATTTCGTTTAATTAAAGATGAAGATTTTATTGAATAATAAGCAAAGTGACAATGAAAAGCTTACATTATTTTCTTACTTCCATCGGAAATTAAAAACGACAAAGTTAGTATCATCCCATATAAAATTTTCATTATATGCTATTACTTGTAAATGGCAATTCAAATATTTGCATGTAAAATCAAGAAATTTTCAAACATTTTTTTCAAACTTATATAAAAGGGAATTTTATTACGTTTAGTCAACAAAAAACTTTATTTCAAAATAAGTGTAAAGTAGAGAAAAAACACTTACATCTTTAGTGCTTCTTGCACCACTCAGTCAGCAGTCATTTATGGGGCACCGAAAAGCATCTTCATCGCTTACATTCTTTTGTTGGTCTTGCTCAGCAAAGATTCTTTGGCAGCATCATCATTGCCATTGCTGAAAATAAAAAAAAATTACATTAGTACAATTTTGAATACAGTTATTTTAATTTATTACTATGTGATTGCTTTTAAATTATGATTTCAATATTTGTGTAAAACTAAGGAAAACAATTTCAAGCAATTATTATATATTGAATTGTAAACAAAGTGCATTAAATTATAAACAAAATGTAAATTTAATTAAACAATATCTTTATTTCAAATTCAAAGTGTATTAAATTTTAAACATAATATATATACATTGTCGATCAATATATTTGACTGATTTCTTCAAATTACCTTATATTTTGCCCGTTTGCAAAATCCTCAGGCACACGACGGCATTTTTGTCTTTTGATTTCCATTATTAGCATCAATCCCTCATAATGACTCGATGGAGAAGGCACATCGACTCTGCTTTTTGGGCTATCAAAATGCATCTCATCTGCAAGAAAAAAAAACATGTTAATTTGGAAATTTATTAAAATTAAACGCTACAGTCTAATAATTTGATATCAAGTATTTATAATGATTTGTATTAAAAATTAAACATTACGCTATACTGCAAGTGATTTTCACACAATGTGACAGCAGGTTAAATTACCACATTTAACACAAAACATTAATTGTCTTTCATTACTTGGAAATTTTACTAATTTACTAATTCCTTTCAACAGTTGATAATATTAATATGTGGAAAAACAAAACAGTTCGTTTTATGTATTTATTATGTGTTTGTCTCATTTATAAACAGCAAAATAAAAATACACCATTTCATTGAGCATTGAAAAAGTCACATTGCAAACCTATATAGCGGTCGCATGACGCGCATGACACATGACACATACGTTCTAAGTGGCGCAATACACAGGCAACGCAACATGAAGTGCGCAACTAACGGTTGCACGTCTGCAATCCCACTAAACTATCAAATCTTGCAACCCCTTGATCAAACATTAGAAACTTGAATATAATGAATTATTTGACTGTAAAAAACAAATGTAGAATTGAAAACTATTTTATGGACTATTTACTTTAAATACAATGATCTCTTTCAATTAATTTGTTATGTTTGTTTCAATTCATTTGTTAATCAAATCTTTGTTATTTAAAGAGTAGAGTACACAAATTATTTTAAATATTCAAACTAAACGTACCTAATTCAATAAAAGCTGCAGCCTCTTTGAAATCCTACAGCTCAATTCTTTGGCATTATTCTCTTCGGTTAGGGCCCAGGATTCTTTGATTCACTCTAGGATTTGTAGAGCATCATTCTTGTCATTTTCTTCAAGAATGCACATGTTCCACAATATGCATGTCGGCAAATCCATATTGTTTGATTTACTGTTGGATTTGTAGAGCATCATCCTTGTAATTTCCTTCAAGAGTGCACATGTTCCACAATATGCATGTCGGCAAGTCCATATTGTTTGATTCACTGTACGATTTGTAGAGCATCATTCTTGTAATTTTCTTCAAAAGTGCACATATTCCACAATATGTATGTCGGCAAGTCCATATTGCCATATTGTTGAGCCCGGTAGCGCCGGCACTTATGATTTTCCAAGTTAATTGGATTTTTCGTTATAAATTCATTTGATACAATCAGCATCTCAATGTAAACAAGGATTTCTTCAAATCGTGATCTTGCTACTAGTATGTCCAATAAATCTTCCTAGTCATTGGCAGAACAATCAACTGTAAGACATGTGAGTAAAAGTCATCTATATAAAATATCAGCCCATTGCAATTTCCTTCTGGAATCTAAAAAATAAAAACTGTCAAATTAATATGCACCTAAAATTCAACATTCACTTTTCAACTTATTAAGTTTTTACGAGATAATGTTTGCCAATCACATTTGCAAACTTTTAAATTAGTGATTTGAAATAATCAATGTGCATTCACATGTGGGCATTATTTAATTTAATTGTTAAATATGTAAAACGTAGAACAAATTATATAAAAATTGCTAGCAATTATTAAAAATTGCAAAATCATATAATATGGATGGTCTATTTTTTTTATCGATTATTTTGGCTTTTTTTTTAAAAAAAAAGAATAAAATTAATTTATTAAATATTATCAAAATCACTAGAAATTGTATTTTTCATTCACATTAATTAGATTCATCAAATGCTATTAACTTTCAATCAAGAAAATTACATTTTGTAACACTTGAACAATTTTGTGTTCAAGTGTGTTACAATAAGAATATCAATTTCATCTATATAAATATGGCTCTTCATTAAAGTATTTTAATAATACAAACACAACTATATTGTGATAGTAGAAAATGTTGTACATTATTTAATTTTGTACAGATTTCCCAAAATATATCTTATTGTAATAATTGACATCATTTATATTAATGCAATAAGCTCATATGTAAAAATTATGTTTTAGTTCATTTAATATTGATTCTGAAGTAAATCGAGTTGCTGTTTACGACTGCTTAAAAATAATTGTGTGAGATTAATATATGTTAATCACACTGTAATTTTCTTTTCGTATATTCACTTTTATTTAAAAAATTATGTGACAAATTTACCGAGTATGTAATGAATTTTAATAGATGAAGAAACATTATTATCATTATTGAATGTTAAATTATATTAAAAACTTACAAATCAATCTTGAGTTGTCATTTCAAATATGCAAGACAAACGAATATGAAATTATGAAATTGCAAATTGTATTCATTTGATTCTTCAATATTTAAAATAATATTAACTCTACTTAATTGTGCAAATAAAGAATTCATTATGCATTTGTAATTTCAATAAACAGTTACACCTTGCACAGGTTTTATTTTACGAGAAGCACAAAAGCTCATCATATGTATTATTGATTTATGAATTTTTAACAAAATTAGTTATACTGATAAAAATAATTCAATTCCTTTAAGTTGCATCATAACTTTTTATAATTTTCGCATTTAATCAAAATTATTAGACTGTACACAGTCTATATTGGAAACAAACAGATTTGCTCTGAAACTAAATAAATTGATTTTTCTAGTGATTCAAATTTGTCATCGAATTCCAAATGTTCTAACTTTCCTCGAGGTCTGAAATTACACTTGTGTTTGCATTGAATTGCTTTTCTAACATGATGTACTATAAAATCTAATCACATCATTCGGAATACTGCCAAAAGTTTCTTCTTTTTCCATATTCTCAATTACTTTTAAATTTCACAATGAAAAATTTAGTTATACATATGAATAAAATCAAAGCTAATGAAAAAAAAATTATACGAAACAATTCTTATATACATACTTGTATAGATAATTTCGTCCTCCTTTTGAATATTTTGAGTCATTTACTAATATTAGCATAAAATTAATGAAATATCGTATTCAGTTGTAGATCTTCACATTTGTAGCACTTCTTCATTGATAAGAACATTAGATATTTTGATTTAAACAAAGACCCTTGTATATTTATAGTATTTATTTATAGTATATTACTATGTGATTGCTTTTAAATTATGATTTCAATATTTGTGTAAAACTAAGGAAAACAATTTCAAGCAATTATTATATATTGAATTGTAAACAAAGTGCATTAAATTATAAACAAAATGTAAATTTAATTAAACAATATCTTTATTTCAAATTCAAAGTGTATTAAATTTTAAACATAATATATATACATTGTCGATCAATATATTTGACTGATTTCTTCAAATTACCTTATATTTTGCCCGTTTGCAAAATCCTCAGGCACACGACGGCATTTTTGTCTTTTGATTTCCATTATTAGCATCAATCCCTCATAATGACTCGATGGAGAAGGCACATCGACTCTGCTTTTTGGGCTATCAAAATGCATCTCATCTGCAAGAAAAAAAAACATGTTAATTTGGAAATTTATTAAAATTAAACGCTACAGTCTAATAATTTGATATCAAGTATTTATAATGATTTGTATTAAAAATTAAACATTACGCTATACTGCAAGTGATTTTCACACAATGTGACAGCAGGTTAAATTACCACATTTAACACAAAACATTAATTGTCTTTCATTACTTGGAAATTTTACTAATTTACTAATTCCTTTCAACAGTTGATAATATTAATATGTGGAAAAACAAAACAGTTCGTTTTATGTATTTATTATGTGTTTGTCTCATTTATAAACAGCAAAATAAAAATACACCATTTCATTGAGCATTGAAAAAGTCACATTGCAAACCTATATAGCGGTCGCATGACGCGCATGACACATGACACATACGTTCTAAGTGGCGCAATACACAGGCAACGCAACATGAAGTGCGCAACTAACGGTTGCACGTCTGCAATCCCACTAAACTATCAAATCTTGCAACCCCTTGATCAAACATTAGAAACTTGAATATAATGAATTATTTGACTGTAAAAAACAAATGTAGAATTGAAAACTATTTTATGGACTATTTACTTTAAATACAATGATCTCTTTCAATTAATTTGTTATGTTTGTTTCAATTCATTTGTTAATCAAATCTTTGTTATTTAAAGAGTAGAGTACACAAATTATTTTAAATATTCAAACTAAACGTACCTAATTCAATAAAAGCTGCAGCCTCTTTGAAATCCTACAGCTCAATTCTTTGGCATTATTCTCTTCGGTTAGGGCCCACGATTCTTTGATTCACTCTAGGATTTGTAGAGCATCATTCTTGTCATTTTCTTCAAGAATGCACATGTTCCACAATATGCATGTCGGCAAATCCATATTGTTTGATTTACTGTTGGATTTGTAGAGCATCATCCTTGTAATTTCCTTCAAGAGTGCACATGTTCCACAATATGCATGTCGGCAAGTCCATATTGTTTGATTCACTGTACGATTTGTAGAGCATCATTCTTGTAATTTTCTTCAAAAGTGCACATATTCCACAATATGTATGTCGGCAAGTCCATATTGCCATATTGTTGAGCCCGGTAGCGCCGGCACTTATGATTTTCCAAGTTAATTGGATTTTTCGTTATAAATTCATTTGATACAATCAGCATCTCAATGTAAACAAGGATTTCTTCAAATCGTGATCTTGCTACTAGTATGTCCAATAAATCTTCCTAGTCATTGGCAGAACAATCAACTGTAAGACATGTGAGTAAAAGTCATCTATATAAAATATCAGCCCATTGCAATTTCCTTCTGGAATCTAAAAAATAAAAACTGTCAAATTAATATGCACCTAAAATTCAACATTCACTTTTCAACTTATTAAGTTTTTACGAGATAATGTTTGCCAATCACATTTGCAAACTTTTAAATTAGTGATTTGAAATAATCAATGTGCATTCACATGTGGGCATTATTTAATTTAATTGTTAAATATGTAAAACGTAGAACAAATTATATAAAAATTGCTAGCAATTATTAAAAATTGCAAAATCATATAATATGGATGGTCTATTTTTTTTATCGATTATTTTGGCTTTTTTTTTAAAAAAAAAAACAATAAAATTAATTTATTAAATATTATCAAAATCACTAGAAATTGTATTTTTCATTCACATTAATTAGATTCATCAAATGCTATTAACTTTCAATCAAGAAAATTACATTTTGTAACACTTGAACAATTTTGTGTTCAAGTGTGTTACAATAAGAATATCAATTTCATCTATATAAATATGGCTCTTCATTAAAGTATTTTAATAATACAAACACAACTATATTGTGATAGTAGAAAATGTTGTACATTATTTAATTTTGTACAGATTTCCCAAAATATATCTTATTGTAATAATTGACATCATTTATATTAATGCAATAAGCTCATATGTAAAAATTATGTTTTAGTTCATTTAATATTGATTCTGAAGTAAATCGAGTTGCTGTTTACGACTGCTTAAAAATAATTGTGTGAGATTAATATATGTTAATCACACTGTAATTTTCTTTTCGTATATTCACTTTTATTTAAAAAATTATGTGACAAATTTACCGAGTATGTAATGAATTTTAATAGATGAAGAAACATTATTATCATTATTGAATGTTAAATTATATTAAAAACTTACAAATCAATCTTGAGTAGTCATTTCAAATATGCAAGACAAACGAATATGAAATTATGAAATTGCAAATTGTATTCATTTGATTCTTCAATATTTAAAATAATATTAACTCTACTTAATTGTGCAAATAAAGAATTCATTATGCATTTGTAATTTCAATAAACAGTTACACCTTGCACAGGTTTTATTTTACGAGAAGCACAAAAGCTCATCATATGTATTATTGATTTATGAATTTTTAACAAAATTAGTTATACTGATAAAAATAATTCAATTCCTTTAAGTTGCATCATAACTTTTTATAATTTTCGCATTTAATCAAAATTATTAGACTGTACACAGTCTATATTGGAAACAAACAGATTTGCTCTGAAACTAAATAAATTGATTTTTCTAGTGATTCAAATTTGTCATCGAATTCCAAATGTTCTAACTTTCCTCGAGGTCTGAAATTACACCTTGTGTTTGCATTGAATTGCTTTTCTAACATGATGTACTATATAAAATCTAATCACATCATTCGGAATACTGCCAAAAGTTTCTTCTTTTTCCATATTCTCAATTACTTTTAAATTTCACAATGAAAAATTTAGTTATACATATGAATAAAATCAAAGCTAATGAAAAAAAAATTATACGAAACAATTCTTATATACATACTTGTATAGATAATTTCGTCCTCCTTTTGAATATTTTGAGTCATTTACTAATATTAGCATAAAATTAATGAAATATCGTATTCAGTTGTAGATCTTCACATTTGTAGCACTTCTTCATTGATAAGAACATTAGATATTTTGATTTAAACAAAGACCCTTGTAATATTTATAGTATATTTGCCTTATATATTGTGTTGCATTGTCGAATTATCCACAGCAGATATATAATGGACAGATGACTTGTGTACCTAGCACCTCTTCATTGATAAGATTAGATAATTTGATTTACACGAAGACCCTTGTAATATTTGTAGTATATTTGCCTTATATATTGTATTGTTGCATTGTCGAATTATCCACAGCAGATATATAATAGACAGATGACTTGTGTTGCTTGTATATATTATGTAGCTATAAAAGTATCAAGTAAGTTATATTTAATGTTTCTATACACACTGAAAATGTTTGTGACCACCACACTTCTAATTCATACTTGTCTCTAATTTTTCTGCTTCTGCCTCTGCTGAGTAAAATGTTGATAGCCAGATATATTACAATGAAGATATCTTGCAAATACAATGTCTACGTATTGTTTGTAGAATGCCATATCAAAGTCATCAACTACGTTAAATGATCTTGATTAAGTTTCTAGCATCTTGAGAATAATTCATGCATTTGTTCTATAAATTATGCAAAGTTTGTGTGCTCTCTTGTTGATAATGTAGATGATTTGGATCCACTAATTGCTAATTAGATGTGTATATTTGTACCATACTATATTAGCCATTATTTTTAGAAACTTGTTGACAACGAAGATCATTTCGATCCATCAATTGATAATTGGATGTGATAATACAATATTTGCACCATCTGCAGTAGGGAATAATTTTGTAACTTGTTGACAACGAAGATGATTTGGATCCATCAATTGATAATTGGATGTGATAATACAATATATGCACCATACTGTAGTAGGGAATACTTTTGTATCTCGCTGACGATGAAGATCATTTCGATCCATCAATTGGTAATTGGATGTGATAATACAATATTTGCATCATACCACGGTAGCGAATACTTTTGTAACTTGCTGACAACGAAGAACATTTCAATCCATCAATTGATATTTGGATGTGTTGATACAGTATTTGTACCATATTACAGTAGCAAATACTTTTGTAACTTGCTGACAACGAAGATGATTTGGATCTATCAATTGAATGTGATAATACAATATATGCACCATACTACAGTAGCAAATACTTTTGCAACTTGCTGACAACGACAATTAATTCGATCCATAAATGGCTAATTGCTTGTTTTTGTGACTACTTTTGAAACTTGTTGACAACGAAGTTAATTTGGAGTCATCAAATTGCCAATTGGATGTGATAACACAATATATGCAGCATACAATATTTTCTCTTTACTAATGTTTCTTCTCACACAAACTCGATCTTTAATTATGTTTTGTGCTTTATCACTATTTCTGTTTCTTGAACAGAATGTCTTCTTATACCTACAAGAAGATACAACAGAATACAATATTTCGTTCCTTTGCTTTTTTCAAAAAATTATTGTGTTTCCGCAAATACAAAAATATAAATCGTTCCGTACTAATATTTTTTCCATATTGCTTTATGTCAGATTATGAACAAGTAAAATAATGACACATTAAGGTGCTTCCTTCGGCACCTAACGAAGAAACATAGTGTGGACGGGCACAACGAACACGCCGAGCAATACAACCAACAAACATATGTTCGTGTGAGCAATGTTCCGTAACTTGTCGGTACATCAAAAAAATAGTTCGTTCATATAGTTAATATGTGCAGTTTTGCGTTAATTTATGTTGTGATTATTTTGTGATATTGCTTTCTCGCCACTTTAAATAATAAAAATGACGTTTCTCGGAACATGCTCGAACAAAAAAGATTCAAGTCCTCGCTGCTTTGAGGCGTTTGTTCAAGTTTGTTTGGAATGATTTGCTTTCGTTCGTGTTCGTGTTCGTCCTTTGCATTTTATTGTCCGGTATGGTTCGTCAGGTTATTCGTTCGAGTTTGTTCGTTAGGTGTCGACCACCTACCTTAATGTATCGTTATTTTTCTGATATGCGTTTTAAGGTGCCGAACAAAACTAAACTGCTGGCAATATATGGTTTTAGACTTTCCATACCCGAGATTAGATCTATTCATAGAGATAAGCAAGTATAAAAGTGATTCTATTTATTTAGAATAGATACTGTAAAATTGATCACAATAAATGTTTCAAACCTCGAAAAAAAAGAGAAAGAAATTAATATTGCAACCAAAATCTGGTCACGGTTTCAGAATCCGAAGAGTAAAATGTATTTGAATTGGCAAGAAATTCAATATTCACGTTTTCTCATGAAACGTATCTAGTAATATAGTCAAAAATCAACTTATTTATTATAAACTACGACCTAGCGGTCGTTCCTTCCTCACTGAGGAAACAATCATATTCCAAAAGACAATGTATATAATCATTGTTCAACAATTGCAAAAAGTTATGCTGCAGAATGGCTGCAGGTTATCACTATATATACTGAAGCCATTTTTATAATTTTAAATTCAGTGAAAAATTTCAAATGATGGAAAATAACAAAAACTTTGAAATAATTTCTATTCAAAATCAATAAATAATAAGATGAGCATTCGTACCTAATTTTTGTAAGTACCATTTCAAAGGCAACATTACTTCAATTTCAGATTTCTTTCACTTGTTCATACTACTAAGTATGCACATTTTTTGTTATGATAAACAAATACATAATGAAAGTGCAGCAATGTGTTAAAAAAAAGTCAAATATTTAATTTAATTTTTTCTTTTAAAAAAAAGTTAAATATTTAATTTTGTTAACGTTATGCAAAATAAATATTCAATTTCGTCGTATTCATTAATTACGATAAAGTACATAAAACTATGGTACGTAGCGCAAGTATTACCAATGCATAAAGTATTTCCACAAAAAATTGAAACTAATAGGTTGTTATATTTGAATGGTTATAGAATAAGAATAATAGAAACCAATTAAAATTGAAAGAAAACCAAGGAAGTCTAAATTTAATATCAACTGCTGAAAAATGTAAAGCCTTACTCTTTAAAAAAAATATGATAAAACAGATCATAACAAAGGAAATCAACACAGGATTTTTAGAACTTTGGACCAATAATAAAAATTTTCCGAAATGTATAAAAAAGGAATGGGAAATTATAAATGAAAAATATCAATGGAATCTAGAAAATACTACAACTAAGGAAATATATATAAAAGAAAAAACCGAATTTGAACTGGAATAATACTTGGAAGAATTTAAAAAATAAAAATATTCCTTCTGACTGGAAAATCACAAACTATATGATAGTCAATGAATGTATATACTCATTAGAATTAATTGAGCTGTTTAAAATGAAAATGACTGATACTGCTAATTGTACAAAATGTAATGAAGAAAATG